TAGCAACCTTTTGTTTGACCTTTATTGGAGTTTGGACGGCCTTTCTGTAATTTTCTACATTCCTTCTCTTTTTTACATTCCTCATCAGTTTGACATCATATACAACCATTAACATGCACAAGCTCCCTTTATCTGTTAGGTCGTTCACATAAATTTGGATCAGCCGTGGTCCCAGGACAACGCCTTGTAGGACTCCACTTCTTACTACAGTTTCAAACCGCCTCTTTGACTATGGCACTTTGCCTTCTTTTCTTCAGGTACTCACTTACCCAGTTCAGCGTTTACCCAGCCTGATTCTTCAGCACTGTACAGGGAATACTTCTCAATGATGCTGGTCTGTAATTTAGTAGCTCCTTTCTATCCCCCTTGTTTAATATTAGGACTATGTTTGTCATTTTCAAACTTAGGGAGCTTTCAAATCTCAAACCTTTTATTAAAATGTTTAGATAATGGGTGGCAATACTTCTGCAGCCTCCTTCAGCAGCAATAGTAAGACTAGGTCTGGCCCCATCGATTTGGTAGCATCTAATTCTTCCAGCAGTTTTTTCCACCTCTTCTATAGTGAATATAATGTCATCCGTTGTTTCTTCTATCCATTCATCTTGCAACCATGGTCTCAATGCTGGTTTAATGTAAAGACCAGGCATTATTTAGTGAGTTTCTCACATACTTCATTTAATTTTTTGTGAGAATTCCAACTTGTCCCTTAAATTTGAGTACTTCAATACTATGCATCTTACAGAAGGGTTTGAGGTGCATTCTGCTGATGAGGTCCTATGAGTGACGAAGATGGGGAGTGGGAAAATTTCCAAGATAAGAGGATGACTGGGCTGAGTCTGTTATCCTCTTGCTTTTCTCCTGGCCAAAACTTTCATTATCTTAATACTTTCTCCATACTCACCTTCGTTACTCTTAGGACTTCATCGACAGAGTGTACCTGCACTCTTCCTGCAATATACTTAATCTTGATGTTGGTTTTTTTTTTTTTTTTTTAAATTCCTCTTTATGATGGTCTCTCTATCCTTATTCAGAAGACGACTGTAAGGTATTCTTTATCTCCATGTTCTTACTGAAATCTTTCTCGATCTCATTAAAATTTGCGTTAATTCTTACCCCTTCTTTTTCTATGGTAAGATATTTATCCGTAACTTTCGATGTCGCTACTGAAGCTCATTTCTCTACTGTTCTTGCCAATATCTATATGGACTACTGTGATATTGTTATTCTTATTGGATTCATGATTATTCTTTTTCTAGCCCTACTGGTTCTCATTAAACAATCTGCTGCGTTCTATCAATTTCAAAGTTGAATAAGAATCAAATTACTTTCTTTCTTTCTTTCCGAGATGCACATGTTCACAGCTCTATATCTGGCTTATCTCCTTCCATAAGCTTATTCACAGTGGTATGTACATTCATTTCTTGCCGTTCAATTCACCTACTGTTAAGAAAAGTGTTCCCAACTTCCTCTTCCTCGGAGTCCTTCTCATCAGTGTTCTTCAGTTTCTTGATTCTGAAATTTTTCGTCTTTGCAAGTCTCAAACATTGCTTATCTCCTTAATGTAAACAACATTGCCTTTGTTCAAGCAAAAATAATTTAATTTCAATCTAAACCTTTCATTTCCGACACTAGAGAAACTATGGTGTCTTCCCTTATATCTGAACTACAAAAGGATCACAAATATCTTTCGTCTTCTTGATAAATCTAGATGTTCGACAAACTAGCACACTTCGTAGTAATATGGTTCATGCAGCTCCTCCTGCTTCCTGTGTTGCTGGTGCTTGTTATATTACCTGTTTCTTTTGTCCTCTCCAATACTATGCTGAAACTGCCAGTACATTTAATGACAGATAAAATTAACAAAAAAGAGTGTTAAGTCGGCAGACACAAACAATGTTCTCTTTTGTCATGTTAGAGACACTAATCGTCCTACAGAGTGATCTTCTTCTAAAGTAATTTGTCCTGCCTCGACTCTTTACAGATGCCGTCTTGTTGAATCTGCAATACATAACAAGACGAACATAAATCTTAGTCCTGTCCTTCTTGCTGTTGACTCATGCTTTTCTCACTACAAACCTAAATGTTTCAACCTTCTTAACAAACGTCCTCTGACTTAGCACAAGCCCCTTTAGGCTCTCTTTCTTATCTGTTTTTATGTTGATAGTCCTTTTGTCTCTATCTCACCATTCGTTTTTAGTAAGGTTTTCTGCAGTTCTTTATTTCTTTTACTCCTTCGGTATACTTCATCCTCCACGCCATTCACCTCACATTGTGTGGCATGCTTCATCTCCTATGATAAATGTCAACCATCTCGACTTAACCTCACATTCTTACCTTATAAATTGTCTCTCTCTGCCACTCTTATATATAGTCGTAATGGCTTGGTGCGTTCTCCTAATAGTTCTGTTCTGTTCTCTTCTGCCACTCTTTTTTTCACGGCTTAATAATAAACCAGGATGAACCGAAACTCCATCACTTCCTTTACTTTCAGATGTATAAGTTTTTTGTGTGTGTGATAGCTGACATGCAAGGTGTTGCAATCACAAATATGTCTGTTGTGAAGAGTAGAACCCGTTAGGAAGCGATCCTAAGACTTCAAATTAATGATTGGGTCATGTAGCTCATACAATCACAAGACTGAAGGCTTCACCTCAGTCAGGTGTTGGACAGGGCGAGTCAAGCTGGGTAATCATCTATGTAACGCAATTGAGTGACATCACCAATCTGAGAAGAAAGGGGTAAGGGAAGCCTCTTGTGGTCAAGAAAAAGGTCACAAACTGACCCCTTCACACCCCCTTTCACCGAAAATTCTCAATCTTAAAAGAAGATGGCACCTGTCAGTCAGAGACTTTTATGTCACCTCAAACTTTTTTGTCTCTCTGGTATCATACGTTGACCTTCTTGAAATATTTAAACACCATGAAGAAGCATTCAGTAGACACAAAGTTTAAATGAAATAACAACATTGCTGCTGTCAGGCACTACTGACCTCCATGGAGTTCACTCACTTCAATACGTCAGTGTTGCAAGGCCAGCTGAGAATGTGTACATTCCCACAATAGGAAGCAAAGAGCATCAGTGAGGTGAAGTTGGAGTGATCTATGTCTATAGTGGCTTGCCACAGGGATCTGCATTGAGGCCATTGTAATGCATAAATATGTCAATGACTAAGAAGCTGGGGAACAATTTTATCAGCAAATGATGACATGAAAGGTGAAAGGAGGACTCTGTAGAACTCAAGAAAAACCTCAACATATTGCAAAACTGGGCAGATGAAGTTCAATTTTGATAAATGAAAAGTTCTATAGAGCGGAAATGGCAATGATACTGAGTTCTACATGAATGTTCTGACCTCAGCCCGAAGCAGAAATGAAACAATATACATAACAAAGCCAATAGAATGCTCAGAGTAATAGCTGGCAGTGTCAGCAAAAAATAAAATTAAGGGATGAATTAAATGCATGCTATCTTATTTGCGTCTATCAATCTTATTTGGGCTTAGTGAGGTTCGACTTAGATTATGCCATTTAATTCTAGTCATTGTATTAAGGTGAACTGGACTTCCCGGTGGACATATACTGATTCCTGGCATCCTGGACCTCCATATGAGTGATATCCTGGAACTCCATATGAGCTGAGGGAGTTTGGCCGTTATTCTTATGGAGGGAGAAAGGTGAGGAGAGATAAGACTGAGGTCTTCAAGTCGATGAGGGGTATTAATAGAGGAGGATATGGGAACATTATTGAAATTATTAGGACATGTCAGAACACATAAAAATTGATAAACAATTGGATAAGTTTAGATTCTGAAAAGATATATGGAAACATTGGTATTGAAACGGGGTGGTAATCGAGTGAAATAAGTTTTAAAAGATCATCATTGAGGTAAATAGTATAACTTGGTTTAAAAATAGGACAGATCCATGAGTAAGAGGTGGTGGATCTAGAAGAGCACTGCCGAGAATGGGCCAGGAGGCCTGATATAGTCACTCCAATACATGTCTTATGAATTTTAAACGGTTGGAACTAGTCAATACCAGCCACAATCGGTGCAATCTCGACAAATTACTTTTTATCCAATTAGCCCAAATTACATTTTTCGAGTCTCCAATTCCTAGGCCGGAAGAAGTTATTTTGATTTTAGTAGAATGGGTTGTAAGACAAAGAAAGGAAATTAAGCCTTTTTATGACTTTGGGGCTATAAGGTTAAATATGAATACTTGTCAAATGTTTAATATAAACATACGTATTTTATGCCTTAAGTCAATATAATTAGAGTACTTGAAGATGCTGAATGAAAAGCTGTTGGAAGTTAAAGCATAAACATAACACAAAATTTGTATCCCTATTATGGACACGTAATTAGGTTATTACATATACAAATTTAGTCTTACTTTTGTGTTGGAGTGTTGACACTGGCAGGAGGACAGCGGGTTCTCTAGTACGTGGCCTGAGTTGTAGCAGAACGACCAGTAGAACAGGCAGAGGCAATGTGTAGAGATGATGCTTAGTTCCCAGATGGAGGATATTAATTAAAATACTTCGCTGTGTGTGTGACTGGTATGGGGTAGAGGTCTGGATGAGGGTGATTTCTCGTTTTTGGTGAGGTAAGTAAACTTGTGGTAGGTCACCTGTTGTAGTAGCACCTTGTCTTCAGCATCCAGCTATCTAAGAAAGGAGTGAAACACATGTAATAATTTCTGGATGAGCAATCTAATCCAACCTGAGATTCAGGTTATACAAGCATACTTATTAAGTTGCCCCGAGGCGTTCAACACCTGACATTAAGCTACCTGTCTGTTGTCTGTCAGCCATTGCCAGCATTCACCACCATAGTAATTTATATATTCAGTAAGGATTAATAAAACGTATTTATTTATATTCTTATTTATTCATCTAATTTCAGTTTACACAAGTATATTACAGTATTTTAATCTCAGTAATCGCCCAAATGATATTGCTAATAATAAAAACTGCCAAAACTCTCACTCAGGGGGCACACTAAAAGTTATTATGCTCGTTCAGGGGCTCCTCAGACTAAGACACGTCTAAGAGCTCTGCTCTCTCAGTCAACATTCACGGGGGAGACATCTCCCGTCACGCAGGGTGCAGTCGCACCTCCACAGATCTCCAGTATCAGCTCTTGATACTGGTAATGGCTCAAAAGGGCCACCACTTACGGGCTATTCATGCCCGTGCCACCTTTTGGGTGGCTTAATCTTCATCAATCAATCAGTCAACATTCATCCATCATCCTGTTCGCTAGTTCCCCTCAGCCTGTTCACATCTCCCATCAATATGGCTCTTTGCCCCTTGTGTTTCTAGCCACTTAACAACGAAATAGGGCATGCATGTGAAACGAATTGCGTTTCATGCGCAAAGAAAATGTCCATCAACCCCTTACGAGAATATCGCTTATATTGTATACAGTGCAACGGACCTACATAACCAGGACATTCCGACGTTACCTGCGCTAGCGGCGGGCAATTGTATTTTGCAAATCGTAAGTACCACCTTAATTTCTCGTACATTCAATAAACTAAAATATATATATATATATATATATATATATATATATATATATATATATATATATATATATATATATATATATATATATATATATATATATATATATATATAACTGAAAACTCACACCCCAGAAGTGACTCGAACCCATACTCCCAGAAGCAACGCAACTGGTATGTACAAGACGCCTTAATCCACTTGACCATCACGACCGGACAAAATGAGGTGATAGCCGAGGCTATTTGAACCACCCCACTGCCGGCACTCGGATAGTTATCTTGGGCATAGCATTTTACCAAATCACCTCATTCTTAGGGGCACACATGAGGAACACAAATGCGAACAAGCCAGAATGGTCCCCTGGACAATATGCAACTGAAAACTCACACCCCAGAAGTGACTCGAACCCATACTCCCAGAAGCAACGCAACTGGTATGTACAAGACGCCTTAATCCACTTGACCATCACGACCGGACAATATGAGGTGATAGCCGAGGCTATTTGAACCACCCCACCGCCGGCACTCGGATAGTTATCTTGGGCATAGCATTTTACCAAATCACCTCATTCTTAGGGGCACACGTGAGGAACATATTGCATATTGTTGCAATATGAACAGTTGCATATTGTCCAGGGGACCATTCTGGCTTGTTCGCATATATATATATATATATATATATATATATATATATATATATATATATATATATATATATATATATATATATATATATATATATATATATATATATATATATATATATATATATATATATATATATATATATATATATATATATATATATATATATATATATATATATATATGTGTGTATATCACGAAAATAAACACATGATTAAGAATGTGACAATGTCAGACCACGGAGGAAAAATGAAACAGGAAATTTCCTTAAGTACTTTCGTATATTAAATACATCTTCAGAAGGTCGTATATTAAATTCACCTTCTGAAGATGTATTTAATATACGAAAGTACTTAAGGAAATTTCCTGTTTCATTTTTCCTCCGTGGTCTGACATTGTCATATATATATATATATATATATATATATATATATATATATATATATATATATATATATATATATATATATATATATATATACTTATATTATATTTTTTTTTATATGGGAAGGGAGTACCACCTCTAGCTGGAAGAAGGGGGACCCATAGCCTCGGAGGAAACCACGCATAACGCATTAGAGGGAATGTTTAGATCCCCTCCAATACAGTTTCTGTGTGCTTTTCTCCTACCACCCCCTTCCTTTTTTATTTTTTGTGCTTTATTATGCATTTGATGGTTACAAGATATACATGGGTTGATACAAAAATAATAATGCAAAAAGGTGCTTAAAGGTTATGGATCTCTTGAAAAACACAACAATGGGAAACATTGATGAATGTCACAGACGGGTTCGATTATTGTTGCAAGTCAAACACTTCTTCGAATTCCTCTGAAGTTGGACTAGTGCCCAATATATATATTGTGACTATAATCTCCTTCAAGAGATTGAGCCTGCTCTTCCCTCTACAAATACGCCGCAACAAACTATATAAAACTACTAGGGAAGAAATGTCCAACGACAACAACATCTCCAAGGTTTGCCAGAGCGCAAAACGTATGCAGCCAGGAACACCTGTTCAGACTCAAACCGCCAAACTACCTGTTGATCGCTACCGGCTCCGCTGATTGGTCGCCGGTCTGGCTGCAACTGCACTCGCCCCCCCCATACTACTTGATGTCTGGGGTCGCCACGACCTCAGACCTCAGAATATTCTGTGCTTCCGCAGTTACCACTCCTCCCGGCTAGACGTTAGCGTATACTGAGAGAGGTGGTAGCTTAAAGCCAATATTCCAGCACCTTCCCTTTATTTTTGTATTGCACTTCTTGTTATTTTGTCTTAACGTAACTTTTCATTGTGTCATTTAATTATTCTTATTATTTTGATTGATTGATTTTATTATACGAATTTGTTTGTCCATTTTTTCATGTTTTGATTTATTTAACGTAATTAAAATTTCATTGTTAAAGTTTACTTGTGTTTTGTGTGTCTTCTCCTTACCTTACCACAGACGAAGTTCCAGTTTTCTATTTTTTTTTATAACTATGTGACGAGGCCATACCCCTAGCCTTAAACAGCCGAACACCAACGCGTTACCGTCACAAGATATATATATATATATAAATATATATAAATATATATATATATATATATATATATATATATATATATATATATATATATATATATATATATATATATATATATATATATATATATATATATATATATATATATATATATGTATGTATTTAATTAAAAGGGAAGGGAGTACCACCTCTGGCTGGAAGAAGGGGGACCCATAGCCTCGGAGGAAACCACACATAACGCATTGGAGGGAATGTGGGTCCCCCTCCAATACAGTTTCTGTGTGCTTTTCTCCTACCACCCCCTTCCCTTTTTTTTTTTTCCTTTATTGTGTATTTAAAGGTTACAAAACATACAAGACAAATGCCTAAAGGTTATGGATCTCTTGAAGCTCCTCCGCTTCTGGACAGGAACCGAGGACGCAGCAAGCATTTCCCCTCTGGATCGCCACACTGAGACGCTGAAACAAAAAACTGGAAGCCCTTGGGTCTCTGGTGACGTCAATGAGCTTGAAATCCAATTCCTTGAGAAATCCCAAGGCACTCTTACCCCAGGGGCCATGCGTCTCAGACGCTATGGGAACAAAGAGGTATTGACCTTCCAGTCGCCTGTACTTGAGTGATTTTGCTGTTTCCCTGTGGTTGGCCGCCCCACCTGCTTGATCAGCTCCGAAGTGTACATAGGTGTCAGCCAGGGTGGAAACACATGTGTAGTCCCACACCAACTGTCTACCCTCCTTCCATGAGTATATGGTGATGCCATCAGGGCGAAGTGAGGGGAAATCTGGGTTTTGGACCCCTAGGATGCGAGGTTCTCTCTCTCCGCTGGGCACCTAGCTGAGACGAGGCTTCTCTTGATGATGTTGTAGCGAGTAGATTATCCCAATAATATACTCGCTCCAAATGCATTGTTAATATTCCTGTCGACCTTTGGAGATGAATGAGGTGAGGCGTTGCCCGGGCAACACGGTGAGGTGTTGCCCGAGCATATAAGCAGCAGAATAGCAAACATTAACCAGAGTCTACTTTCAAGTGTGGTCTAGAGCAGACACTTGCGAGATACTGTACCGACGCTCAGTGCGCTCAACTCACACCAAAGTATCACCTGTGTACTTCTGTATATTCGACCAAATATATATATAGTATCTTAGTGTCTGTGTTTATTTGTCACCATTCTTTACGTAACAATAGATCCGTTACAATATCATTGACCTCGTTGTGTCTTGCATGCCAGCCCTTTGTGCTTCCGCAATGCAACCCATGCAGTCCGTATTGGTCTGCTTCTACCCTGTTGCAAATACACTTGTATTCAGTGTCAATTGGGGCACCAAGGCGGAGGGCCACTGCTACATGAAGGGATTCTGGATGTAGGCACGTGCCCATTGCTGACATGGGTACTGCCAGGAGGAAGTCTCCTGCATGGGGGGCACACACTGCTCTGAGGCGGGCTTTCTCCTTGTCTGATGTTGCGGCGCTGAGCATGGCATCAGCTACTTTTTCCACTAGAGGGTGGTCCCAGCCGGACTGTTTGTGTTGTTTTGTTGGCTCTATAATGGTTGCTGGGGCTGCAAGAACATCCCACTGATTTGAACATTCAGTGAAAGCAGGATCGTGTATTCCTGCTGAATCTCTCAGGGTTGCAGATAAAATATCTCTGACGAGGTCGTGCGATGCATGAGAGGAGGAAAGGAAGGCTGGTAGAGCAATTTGGAAGGCTGTGCGGACACCAAGGCCGCCGAGTCTTACAGGAAGGGTTGCTTGCTCCCACTGAGAGTCGTCCAATGGCAGGTTCAGGACTTTCACCAGCATGGACCTCAGAAGGGTGTCATACACATTTAACTTAGGGCTGCTGTAGGATGGAGAACATCTCAGAAAGTAGGTCAACTTAGGGAGAGACAGGCATCTTGTAAGGAGAAAGAGAGCATCATGGGCATCAATCTTGTCAATCCTGTCCAGCATTCTCTTTACGTCAGTGATTTTTGCAAACAGGACCTCCTCGATTGCTCGTGGGCCAATGGGGGCACCCAGGAGAGTGCAGTCCGGTGGCTCGACAACGAGAATGTCTGGAAGAACATTTTGTATTTGCCCAGTGATGTCTGGGTTGCGGGAGATTATTTCACATTTGGATGCATTGAGAATGAGGCCTAAGGCTGCCCCCTGCTCCTGGATTTTCCTTATATCCTCTAAAATGGTTTCCGGAGTTCCAGCTAGAGTGCCATCATCCAGGTACCAGATGTTTAGCTCGCTTGTCAGACTATCAGTGACCTCTTTGATAGCTAGGCAGAAAAGGAGGGGGGCTAAGGGGTCACCTTGTTGGACACCTTCCCAGGAGTTTATTTCATGCTCCCCAAAAAGAAGCTTAGAGTCCCCACTGTAGCACGATCGGATGAATGGGTAAAGGGAACGGAAATGGTTGTGTACAGCCCTGAGGACAGCGTCTCGTCTGACTTGATTGAAGGCATTTTTGAAGTCAAGCTTTACTAGTGCCTTCTGGTCCGGGAGATCAGCAATGTAAGCCCGCGCTGCATGTGCTGCAGCTTCACAACCTTGGGGAATCCCAAACCCGAGCTGATGAGGTTTCAGCAAGGTGGCTGCTTCCTGGCTGATAGATCTCACTGCAGCCTTAGCTACAAGGCGTCGGAGGGTGTTGCCAACGGCAATGGGCCTGATACCCCATATATATATATATATATATATATATATATATATATATATATATATATATATATATATATATATATATATATATATATATATATATATATATATATATATATATATATATATACATATATATATACATATATATATACATATATATATATATATATATATATATATATATATATATATATATATATATATATATATATATGCGAACAAGCCTGAATGGTCCCCAGGACAATATGCAACTGAAAACTCACACCCCAGAAGTGACTCGAACCCATACTCCCAGGAGCCACGCAACTGGTATGTACAAGACGCCTTAATCCACTTGACCATCACGACCGGACATAATGAGGTGATAGCCGAGGCTATTTGAACCACCCCACCGCCGGCACTCGGATAGTAATCTTGGGCATAGCATTTTACCAAATCACCTCATTCTTTGGGGCACACGTGAGGAACACAAATGCGAACAAGCCTGAATGGTCCCCAGGACAATATATTTACAATATATTTACTATATTGTAAATATAGTAACAATATTACTATATTACCAGGACAATAACTATTTACTCTACCCACCATGAGAGTAAGGACAAGACAAGAACATATCGATGCCAACACAGAAGACAATGTCCAACATAACAGGCCAATTACACTGGATTAATCTTTGTGTTTGGATAGGAGATGCCTCGTATGGGCCAATAAGCCTTCTGCAGCCCCTATGTTTATCCCTTATGTATCCCCCCATGTTTTCACCTTCATTGTATTATCACCTGACCTAATGCGGGTATAAAATCAACTAGTATTGTAAGATCTGTTCACTTGAGAATGAACCATGGAGGTTCGAAACGTCGTGCAAATTATACAAATAAGTGTAATACACTCTATAGTAAATCACTTCTTTTCTTCACCTTAAAAGTACGAAAATGAGTTTTGGAGAACTCCTATTTCAATTAAGCCCTGATGCTAAGAAAATAGTTAGAGGGATAGAAGCCCTAAACCAGAAAATAATAAATACAGAATATGCGGTCATATTCAATGAAAAAAAAAAAATATATATATATATATATATATATATATATATATATATATATATATATATATATATATATATATATTTATATATATATATATATAGGCCTCACCCTGAACCCTTCAGGGTGCGAAATAACCTCCACCAACCAGCACATAATAGAGCAAATAAAGGTTGTTCTGCCTGACATTCATACAACCAACCCTGAGGACAGCACACTCCTAGGTGCTCCTCTTGGAAGGAATGCCATCGACGGGGTCCTTGGTAAGAAGATCACTGACCTGAAGAGGATGAACGAGAGGATTGAAGACATCGATGCCCATGATGCACTTTACCTCATTAACAGATGCTTGTCCCTCCCCAGGCTGACCTACTTTCTAAGATGTTCGCCATCTTTCAACAATATTAAATTAGAAGAGTACGACAGCTTGCTGAAATCAACACTAGAAAAAGCCCTCAATCTTTCCCTCAGCGACATTCAGTGGAAACAGGCCTCCCTTCCTGTTAGACTCGGGGGCCTTGGTGTGCGCACAGCAACACAAATTGCTGTACCAGCGTTCCTGTCCTCTTCAGTGGGGTCTGACAACTTGGTGAAGGAAATCCTACCTGAGCACCTAGTTCAACAGGCAGGGGTACATGATCCCAGCTTTACAGACTGCACAACCAAATGGGCTCCCAACCAACCAACTCCCTCACAACCAAAAAGCTCCCCATGCAGGTGATTTCCTATTAGCAACCCCAATGTCAGCAACCGGCACCCGTCTCTCACCGCAGGCCCTCCGAATTACCGTGGCTCTCCGCCTCGCTGCCCCAATCCACACCGAATACAGGTGTATTTGCGGCGAGGCAGAGGCCGACAGATACGGACGGCATGGCCTTCTCTGTCAAAGGACAGGAGGATGGCATGCAAGACACTGCGAGGTCAATGACATTATTTAAAGAAGCCTTACCACAGCTGGTTGTCCAGCAGAGAGAGAGCCCCGTTACCTAATGTCCCGCAACTCTTATGAGCCTGTCGGTCGCCCAGACGGAATCACGGTGAACCCCTGGAAGAATGGTAGACAGTTGGTGTGGGACTACACTTGCGTTTCAACTTTAGCCAATACCTATGTTGACTTCAGTGCTACACAAGCAGGAGGAGCTGCCAATCACCGGGAAGCGGCCAAGTCACGTAAATACAGAGACCTTGAGCACCACTACAATTTTGTCCCCATTGCCTCAGAGACACTTGGTGCCTGGGGTAAAAGTGCTGCTAACTTTTTGAAGGAGTTGGGGTCTAAGCTAATCGAAACAACTAGAGACCCTAGAGCTGCCAGTTTTCTTTTTCAGCGCCTTAGTGTGGCAATCCAGAGAGGAAATGCTCACTGCATCCATGGTTCCTGCCCGCCATCTGAGGAGCTGGAGGAGCTGTTCAACTTGTGACAAGCAGCCTTGTACCCTGCATGTAATCAATATTGTAACTTTTTTTGTGTAATGACATTTTCAAATAAAGTTACATAAATATACACACATACCAAAAGAATAGGGGTGGTAGGAGAAGAAAATATCAGTGTTCAGTGAGGATCCACAAGGTCTTCTCTGAGTACTCTTTATTTTCTTCTCCGAGGCTATGGGTTCCTACACTTGCACCAGAGGTGGTACCCCTTCTAGGTTAAAAAAAAAAAATATATATATATATATATATATATATATATATATATATATATATATATATATATGTTGTACCTAACAGCCAGAACGCACTTCTCAGCCTACTATGCAAGGCCCGATTTGCCTAATAAGCCAAGTTTTCATGAATTAATGTTTTTTCGACTACCTAACCTACCTAACCTAACCTAACCTAACTTTTTCGGCTACCTAACCTAACCTAACCTATAAAGATAGGTTAGGTTAGGTTAGGTAGGGTTGGTTACGTTCTGTCATATATCTACGTTAATTTTAACTCCAATAAAAAAAAATTGACCTCATACATATTGAAATGGGTAGCTTTATCATTTCATAAGAAAAAAATTAGAGAAAATATATTAATTCAGGAAAACTTGGCTTATTAGGCAAATCGGGCCTTGCATAGTAGGCTGAGAAGTGCGTTCTGGCTACTAGGTACGACATATATATATATATATATATATATATATATATATATATATATATATATATGTCGTACCTAGTAGCCAGAACTCACTTTTCAGCCTACTATTCAAGGCCCTATTTGCCTAATAAGCCAAGTTTTCCTGAATTAATATATTTACTATAATTTTTTTCTTATGAAATGATAAAGCAACCCTTTTCTCTATGTATGAGGTCAATTTTTTTTTATTGGAGTTAAAATTAACGTAGATATATGACCGAACCTAACCAACCATACCTAACCTAACCTAACCTATATTTATAGGTAAGGTTAGGTTAGGTAGCCAAAAAAAGCTAGGCTAGGTTAGGTTAGGTAGGTTAGGTAGACGAAAAAACATTAATTCATGAAAACTTGGCTTATTAGGCAAATCGGGCCTTGAATAGTAGGCTGAGAAGTGCGTTCTGGCTATTAGGTACGACATATATATATATATATATATATATATATATATATATATATATATATATATATATATATATATATATATATATATATATATATATAAATATATATATATATATATATATATATATATATATATATATATATATATATATATATATATATATTCTTTGACCTCTAAACCTAAAAATTTATCTAGAAATGTGGATGCGAAAAATCAAGTGTTCCCTCCCCCGAGTATGATGAGGCGGATCAAGGTGGGAGATGAAGGGTCGTCTACCTGGATATCATATTAAAGTGAGTTTCTGTTTATTTTTAATCATTTACTATTAGATTACAGGATGGATAGTTACGTTATATATGCAGCAAGTAACTCTGATACTGATGTATTTAAAAATAATGCTCCAAATACTTTTGAAATAGATTACATAATCAGCTGCCGTTAGACTCTAATAAAGCTTATGATATGTGTCTGAAGAATATATTCTTGCCTCCGTCTTATTTTGCAGTTATAAATCATGATATGGAAAGTCTTATTTCAGTTCATCTTCTAGTGTCTAATAAAAATTTATCTGACTTGAGTACTATGAATACATCTTTCACTTTAGTCGGATATTTTAGCGAGCGATAACTGCATAGAGCTAACGACTATTTTAAATAGAGAAATATCAGCTATATTTTCAAAAGGATCGCTAAGTTTTATAGGAAATGTACTTAATTATAATTTCCCAAACCATGGGGGCATATATATGAAATATGAATCGAGTATTAATCGAATTAAGTTTAATACTGTATTTAGTGAAAAGTTGTTAAAATCATTTATTACAAAGGATGGTAAATTGATTGTTCTCATTTCTTTGTCGTTTCGTCGAAATATATGTAAAATCATTGGAGCTGAAGTAGGTAAAGCATATGATATTTTTGTTATGAATAAACTACCTAATAACAGGGTCACTGTGCAAGATACGTGCTATTATCACCCTAGGCCTGGAGGCAGGATAGATTTCTTGTGTGCATATTGTGATAAGGTTCAGCCTACCATGTTTGGCAATCGAGTGTAAATATCTTGGATGTTGTTTCGCTTCGAAGTAATGCAACGCACAGGAAATTATATAAACCTTTAAATACGACTAGTATTGATGGCATCAGTATTAAATTAACAGATCAGGATGCGGAGCCTGTATATTTTGAAAAGGAAGGATGTACAATTGTAGTATTGCATATTAGACCCATTGATATATAATGGTAAAGAGATGCGGGTGTGTATCATTCTCTCCTGACGCGTTTAAACATGAGGGTCGGGTTTGTACAGCTGTCCGTTAACGAGGTAGGGCGATTTATCGCAACTCGAGGGAAGAGAGGTGGAGGATTAGATGATATTACTGTTTTTCATAGAAGACACGTAAGAGGAGGTGGAATTTAAAGTTTCTTAACTGTTCTGGCTCGTAAAGCAACTCCTTTCCTAATAAAATCTATTATGCCAGCTGCATTGACAATGGGACAGAATGTTTAGCAGGATATATATACAGGACAAGATACTGTGAAAGATGCAATTAGAAAACGCGGTATGGAAACATTGACAAGTATAGGTCCTAAACTAATAGCAGGTGGACGAATAAAGAAAAGGAAACGACCTGCATGTATAAAGACAATGAATAGATATAAAGATGTGTTTTCATAAAACAGTATTAGTTGTATACTAGACGTGACCATGATGAGTGTAAATGTTCCTAGTGCAGCATTGCAAGTTCCTTTAGAAAATTATACAGTTGCTATAAGCGATGGCTTTCCTAAAGTTAGTCCTCATAGAATGGTTAAAAGTACGATATTTTCAAGACAGACGCAAGATATTTTACCTGTGAATTCAAGTATTAACAATAAATTTAAAGATTTTTATATTGAATTCCGTATCCCTGGAGTTAAGGACCAATTTATTGATCTTTCAAGCCTGACGTTAGAACTGATGGTTGAATTAACGGGACCTGACGGAATTACGGCTTTAGCGGATATTAAAATGCGTCAATAGTTAACGGCTTGTCCCAGACGATGTTTAAGGCTGTAACTGTATATTTAAATGAGTAGGTGGTTGAAACTAACTCACTATTTTCATATTTATCATATGTAAAGCCAATGACAACACTTTCTGAATGTAAAGCTCAACGGTTTAAAGAACTAACGTATTTTTATTATATTGTTTTTCCTGAAAAATATGACAGATTATTTTAAGAATGCCTCAGAGGACCTTAAATCTAGATTTGTAAAGTTAAAAACCGAGGGAGTAAACTGCTGCTTTAAACATTACAACTTTGAGCGAATATCTTTTGGATGGAGTTGATATTAGTTTGCGATTAGAACTCAACAGTGATCAGTGGGTTATAAATAGTAATGAACATGGAAACAAGTTTAACATTAAACTAGCTAGAATGTGGATTGATAGGATAACTCCGTTCGCATTTGGATTGGAGGCTATTAATAGAGCTCTGGTAGAGCGAAAGACGCCCGTTACATATACGTTAGATTAGACACTCCACAAGACGTTTATTCTGGGAATGGACAGCAAAGGTTAAGTATTGACCAGCCATGGGGGGAGCATTATCCCGAATAAACTATCTATTATGATGACGGATATGGAAGCAATATCGGGAGCGTATACGCTTAATCCGGTTTATTTCGATCACTGTGAATTATCTAATGGATATATTTAACGTGATGGGACGAATTTATTTAATATAACTTGCAAGTTCCCGAATAAATGTTTGATACTATACTATGAGACTCAAAATACAGTAGGCTTTAATGCATGTAATACCTTGACATATAATTTATTTATAAATGGACGAACGGTGCTGGCATTTAGACTAACGCTTGAGGAACTGAGCAACCCGTTCTCGCAAATTCGTAAAGTCAATATTGACTTATTAACTACGTGCATAGGTGATATACTAAACATAATAGATACCCTTAAAAAGATTCATAGAAAACACCGACCTTACCTAACCTTGTTAGTATCTTAAGATAAGCATCTTATTCTTCGTAATTACAATTAATACTTAACCTATACCTATTATAGGTTAGGTAATAATTGTAATTACGAAGCAATAAGATGCTTATCTTAACATACTAAGTAGGTTAGGTAAGGTCGGTGTTTTCTATGAAGCTTTTCAAGGGAAACTATTATGTTAAGTATGTTACCTATGCACATAGTTAATAAGTCAATATTGACTTATTAAATTTGCGAGAACGGGTTGAACTGAGAGACACCTTTCCTATAGAAGCCTCCGGCAACTTGAGAATTACGTTAGAATTTGCTGTTCCTGTGAAATTGAATAAAGTTATTATCTTATTTGGAAATATGACGGGAGTCTTGAGAATTTATTCTGATCGGCGAGTCATGTGCAATACTAGAGCATGAACTGCAAACAAATTAATACTGCATTGAAAGATATGACGGGTAATAAAGCTAAATATATAGGATGCTATTTAGCGACGGATATATATGGAATAATGAAACGAATAAGTAATGATCCGATTATGTTTATAATAAACACTTTAGAAAGAGACTCTAAGGAAGTAATGTCAACCTCTAGTGTCTAATACAAATTTATCTGACTTGAGTACTGTGAATACATCTTTCACTTTAAAGTCAGATATTTTAGCAAGCGATAACTGCATAGAGCTAACGACTATTTTAAATAGAGAAATTTCAGCTATATTTTCAAGAGGATCGCCAAGTTTTATAGGAAAGGTACATAATTATAATTTCCCAGACCATGGGGTCATATATATGAAGTACGAATCGAGTATGAATCGAATTAAGTTTAATACTGTATTTAGTGTACCACTGGATAGTGGTATATAAATCTAAAAGGAAAATAGTTATACTAGATTCTTATGGAATAAATGTGCATTTGCCCTATGTTTCGGAGTTTTAAATTATTTTTTAAAAGACTGCAATGTATATACATTTACAGGACGAGTCCAGAGTCTAAATACATACGTATGCGGGCTATATGCGATGTTTTTCTGTTATCATCTCTCAAACACGGATCTAAAAGACGCATTAAAGCTATTTGAAACTAGTTTTACTTATGTATATTATATACAGAATGATAGGAACGTAAAAAGGCTATCTTAAGCTATATTTAAAAATATGCCGAGTTGCTATGATAAGAGCGATAGTTGTCGGAAAATGTGCTCAGAGATGACGGACTGAATGAGGCTACATAGGAATTAACTGTCTTACAATGGTGATTACTTTTGTTTTGAGCTTTTATGCATTTGTTGAATATTGTACAAGTGTAAACACTATCTAAACTGTTATTATTCTATTTACAGAGATGAGGACTAAACAAGACGGATATTATACAAGTGGATTAAAGAGCGACCTTCGTTTAACATCAGGATAAATGACTCGTTTATTATAACTTATTTATAACTTGTGTAAACTGAAATTAGATGAATAAATAAAAATATAAATAAATAAATACGTTTCATTAGTCCTTATTGAATATATAAATTATTACGGTGGTAAACGCTGGCAATGACTGAAGGACGGCGGACAGGTAGTGTAATGTCAGGTGTTGAATGCCTCGAGGCAACTTAATAAGTCAGGTGTTGAAGGCTTGTGGGACATATTGAGATGTCTCGCTTGGTTTGTGTAAAACAGACCTGATATATAGTTTTGGTGTAAAGGAACTAACATTACGATGTCTAAAATATAAATGGCTGTACGGAAATATGAACGATGAAAGACAAGGTAAGGTCGGAAACGGGTAGGGTGGTGTCTTTCAAGTAGAAAGACAGTACCTGTTACAGTAGCAGCTTTCTACTTTCAAGTAAAAAGACAGTAGTAGAAAGTACCTGTTACCACCCTACCCGGAAACGGGTAGGGTGGTAACAGGTAGAGAGGGGGGAGGGTCAGGCCAGATATTACGGCAACATTAAGGTAAGATCACAGCGGTAACACTTGTTTGGTGAGGTACATTCGGCGGCGGCGTCTGGCCGGGGGAGGGGGGTGCGAGGGAGGTGGCGTGAGGGTAGGAGGGGTAGGCCAGGTATGTTGTTGTTGAGTTAGGGGCGACGACGATCGTGGGATCGGATGCGCCCCGGCGTACCCGTGAAGGGTGAATCGCAAAGCCAGGAAAGGCGAAATGCTAAGCCAAAACGCGAAACGAGTGACGCCAAGCACTAGAAACTAATATGCCACACGGCAAAGCTACGCACAAAGGGAGAGGCAGAAGCACATAATAGAACAGGGCAAACAAACAGCTAGAAGGGCACACAGCATGTCATAGAGCAAATACACAAGAAATCAGAGCACATACTTGCCCGGGAACTTGGCCCGCGGGAATCTTACATTGAACGCCTCCCAGAGCACCCATTGCCAAGGGTCTCGTCCATCCACCGGGGACGCCAGAACATCCGGAACCGGGGCAACAAACACCTGCAAACTGGGGACCCAGATGGTAGAACTCATGAGGCGAGAAGTCGCCACTCGCCCTCACAGGAAGGGAACTTGCCCCCCACGAAAGCACTCCGGTCCGTCAGACAGCAGTAACTCGGCAATCTTCGAACAGTGACCCGGTGGCATCACAGACGCCGGCAACACGTCCCCCAGGGCCCCAACGCGCACCCGCACCACAGGGGTACCCGCGGCCCCGGGCACACCACCAGACGACAGCAGGGAACCCGGACGGCGCGCATCCTTCCGTAACGTCACCACCAGGCCACGCCCAGCACCAGAGTCCACACCATCCCTGGCAGCGGAAGCCACCACCCCTCACTGTGGAGAGTCCCCCGGCGGAGAAAGAACCGAAGGCACGTCCGAGACACAGGCACCAGCACCGGCAGGCACATGGACCTCCGCCACCACGAACCGCGGAGACATCGACGCATCCGTATCCACACTGTCAACATCCGAAGCCCCACAGTCACTGAAGTCACCAGCGTCGGCCCAGGAAGAAGACGAACGCCGGGAACGTTTGGGCACCGGCCGGATATCGTCCGAGCCGGTAAGTGACCCAGAAACACGGGTACCACGAGCCGAAGGAACCGACGCCAGGACGGCAGCAGCCTCTACCACAGGGGGAACCGGGCCACACACAGCAGGAGGCTCTGCAGTCACCCCAGCACCAAGCACATCCGGGACCCGAGTCACGGACACAGGGCCTGCAGGCGCAGCATCAAAAGACGAGGGAGAAGACAGCGACGTCACACAGGGAGCTCCAGGAAGGCCCACGGGAGCAGCTGGAACAACAACAGGATCAGGCAGACCAACCGACGGTACCTCAAGAACCGGAGGAGGGACGGCAACAACCGGAGGAACGGCAGGCGCCGCCGGGGAAGCTGAAGCAGCAGACGGGACGCGCACCACCTCATCAACATCACCGGAGACTGCCTCCAGAGGGAGCGTCGGGAAATCCTCGTCGCGGAACAAGTTGACAGGAGCAGCAGGGGCCTCAGAGCACCCGGCAGCCTGATGCCCCAACAGGCCACACCGGAAACAGGTACGAGGTTGCCGGGCATAATACACCCGGACGTAGTACCCCATAAGCCGGACAGAAGAAGGTATATCCGACCGCAGGCGCATCCCCAACGTGCGAATGTTTGTACGCCTCCCAGCATACCGCCCCGAGGAGAGCGTGTTCACTCGCACGCTGACAACAGTACCAAAACCCCCGAAGTAACGCCGGAGGAGGTCATCAGGGAATTCCAGGGGCGCACCATGGATACTGACATAAGTCAGGGCACCACTGCGGTCCGAAATCGCCACAGAGCCGGCATCGTCTGGCAACAGCAACGTACGCCCCCCGTACCGACGGAGGAAGTCCCGGTACTCGTCCTCCCCCACGAACTTAATAACAACCCGATGGGCCGAAACTAGCTCCACACCGTAAACAGCTTCCACCGGGACACGAAGCATGTCACACATCACCATCTCGATGGTCGGATAAACAGCCTTACAAGTGAACTCCAGGCCCACGGAGTTCACACGCTGAACAGGAGGAAGATGGCCCCCCATGTCAGAACTGGCACGTCAACGCAGCCAGGCAGGCAACAAAACTGGTAGGACAGGGACGCCCACACCACCTGGCGACCAAAACAGCAAACAACTCCAACAGCCACGGAGGGTCGAGAAACGTCCTCACTCCACGGCTGCTAACAGTCGACTCTCGGTAGGCCAGGTAATTAACGACATCTGATGTAGCCGGGTAAAGCTATATTTTTAGTTACTTATATAGACACATAGACACATACGATAGCAGGCGGCTCGACATCTGCGAGGCACTACACATCAAAAGAAGGTCAACAGCAGCAATCAACAGCCAATTAATGCTCAACTATATTCTACCCTCTTCAAGACTCCGAACCAATATAGAAGCATCAAGAGGAAGTATGGGTCATTGGCCCTCTGCAGTTACTTCCATTCTTATGCTCTCATATCCAATTAATACCCATAGTTTCGTGTTCTGTCTAGTGTTTGTCACAAGTTTGTTCACCTCATCCAAAACTGTTGCATCATATCACCTCACCCAAATGCGAGTATAAGTATGACGGATTAGCGTATTTACAGGTTACAGTTGTGTGTGTAAACTAAAGTCTTTGAAAATGTAATAAGTTATTTCAAAACACGTTCAAGTGTCGCGTCAGACTAGAAATGAAAATGAATTTTGGTGAACTGATTTTTCAATTACCATCGACAGTGAAAAGAAACATAAGAAATATTGAGAAAATTCGTGTTAGAATTATTAATCTTACCTTTTTGGTAATATTTAACAACATATGTTTACAAGAAAGACTGCTACCAAAATATACTAATTAATAGGGTTTGTAAGGGTACCACCTCTGGTGCCAATGTGGGGACCCATAACCTCGGAGAAGAAAATAAAAAGTATTCAGAGGAGACCTTGTGGTTTCTCACTGAACACTAATATTATCTTCTCTTACCACTCCCATTCTTTTGTATGTACACATATATATTTGCTTTATTTGAATTTTGTTACAAAAAAGGAGTTACATATAGGTTACAAAGGTGGTTATCATAGGTTGTCGAGTTCCTCCAGCTCCTCAGAAGGCGGGCAGGAACCCTGGATGCAGTGCGCATTTCCCCTCTGTATCGCCACGCTGAGGCGCTGGAAAAGAAACCTGGCAGCTCTAGGGTCCCTTGTTGTTTCAATGAGCCTAGAACCCAGTTCCTTCAAAAAACTTCATTTGTGTTCCTCACGTGTGCCCCAAAGAATGAGGTGATTTGATAAAATGCAATGCCCAAGATTACCATCCGAGTGCCGGCGGGGAAGTGGTTCAAATAGCTTCGGCTATCACTTCCTTATGTCCGGTCGTGATGGTCAAGCGGATTAAGGCGTCCCTGTACATACCAGTTGCGTTGCTCCTGGCAGTATGGGTTCGAGTCACTTCTGGGGTGTGAGTTTTCAGTTGTATATAGTCCTGGGGACCATTCAGTCTTGTTTGCATTTGTGTTCCTCACATGTGCCCCAAAGAATGAGGTGATTTGATAAAATGCTATGCCCAAGATTACCATCCGAGTGCCGGCGGGGAAGTGGTTCAAATAGCTTCGGCTATCACTTCCTTATGTCCGGTCGTGATGGTCAAGCGGATTAAGGCGTCCCTGTACATAGCAGTTGCGTTGCTCCTGGCAGTATGGGTTCGAGTCACTTCTGGGGTGTGAGTTTTCAGTTGTATATAGTCCTGGGGACCATTCAGGCTTGTTTGCATTTGTGTTCCTCACGTGTGCCCCAAAGAATGAGGTGATTTGATAAAATGCTACGCCCAAGATTACCATCCGAGTGCCAGCGGGGAAGTGATTCAAATAACTTCGGCTTGCGGAAAATCCACAGAGAAATATGAAATGAGGTGAACGTTTCGGCTTTGTTAAAGCCTTTGTCAACACCAGACTGACTCAGTCAGTCTGGTGTTGACAAAGGCTTTAACAAAGCCGAAACGTTCACCTCATTTCATATTTCTCTGTGGATTTTCCGCATAAAATGATCAGTGTTTTGTGATCGTCAATTATATATATATATATATATATATATATATATATATTAGTATATTTTGGTAGCAGTCTTTCCTGTAGACATATATTATTAAATATGACCGAAAAAGTAAGATTTATAATTCTAACACGAATTTTCTCAATCTTTCGTACATTACGCTTCACTGTTGGAGGTAAATCAAAAATCACTTCTCCAAAATTCATTTTTATTTCTAGTCTGACGCGACACGGGCGCGTTTCGTAAAACTTATTACATTTTCAAAGACTTCACAAATACACAACTGATTAGAACTAGCGTTTCCCTGATTTTATATCTACATTTGAGTGAGGTGGGAAGGGTGATATGGCATTACATTTGAGTGAGGTGGGAAGGGTGATGTGGCATTAACACAAGACAGAACACTAGGGGATATTAATAGGGTATTAAAAGTATCAACACAAGACAGAACAGAAACAATGGGTATTGAATAGAAGTGTTTGTAGAAAGCCTATTGGTCCATATTTCTTGATGCTTCTATATTGGAGCGGAGTCTTGAGGTGGGTAGAATATAGTTGTGCAATAATTGGCTGTTGATTGCTGGTGTTGACTTCTTGATGTGCAGTGCCTCGCAAACGTCAAGCCGCCTGCTATCGCTGTATCTATCGATGATTTCTGTGTTGTTTACTAGGATTTCTCTGGCGATGGTTTGGTTATGGGAAGAGATTATATGTTCCTTAATGGAGCCCTGTTGTTTATGCATCGTTAAACGCCTAGAAAGAGATGTTGTTGTCTTGCCTATATACTGGGTTTTTTGGAGCT